CGAGGCCTGTTAAACTCCTTCAGCAGCAAAATCTTTATCTGCATTCCACAGAGTAGTCCTTTGTCTTCATCCCACAGAAATTTCAGGGCTTGGCGGGGACGGTCCCACTCCCGGCACCGAGCAGAGGGAAGCACTAAAGGGGCGGTGCCGCTGCTCACTTTTAACACCTTTTTTTGAGGCAGAGCAGCTGCTTTTTCCCCGTGGCAGCCGTTCTGTGCCGAGCTGACGGGCTGGCTCTGCTGGCTGGAGCTGCTGCGTGCCCCGCTGTCTCCCTGGCAGCGGTTCAAGGGAAGCATTGCTGCCCCGGAGGGCTGGGACGGGCAGCCTGTCCGTGCCGGGGCGGTCGCATCCCCCGTGGCCGGGGACCGGCCCAGATGGAGCGGGAGCCGAGCATTCCTGCTGCGCTCCGGCCGTGCCCGAGCCCTGCCCAGCAGTTGCTGTAACTCAGCCCGCGGCATCTCGCAGGGCGATGGAATGAATCCAGGTCTCTGGAATGCACCAGGAAATCTCCGCCAAAGATGAACCTCTTGATTTTTATGCTGGTGGTTTTCCCCGGCATCACTGGAGCTTTTACTGGAAATGGCACGAACCTTCTCCAGGTCGTGGTAGAGCCTGCACGGACTGTGCAAGAGCCTGTGCTATAAACTGTGTTTCAACCTCATGGCAGCGTCCTTCAGCAACACAGCACATGCACAACAAGGTTTATTTGCAGGCACTTTCAGATTCTTATCTTTGCAGCTGATGCTTGCAGGATCATTTCCCTCCAGCATTTCTTGCTTAGAAGTCAGGTGAATTTACCTATCTGAAAAAGTGCTCTTGAGAGGCCAAGATTAATGTCAGGCATGTGCATAGTGTTCCTGCTATCAAGTGCTTTCCTGAACTTCGACCTGCCATTTAAAATATTCTAGGCATTCTAAGTATTCCCTATTTCAACTCTAAGAAGGGAATCAGAAGGGGCTGTGGGACTTCACGGCAGCGCTGCTCAGGAGCTCTGAGAGCTCTGGGGGAGGAAAAGGAATCCCAGTAATTGCGATACCTGCAGGAGAGGGAGAACGCGCTGTGCGTGAAAGTCAGGCACACCATCCATCTGGAGAGAGGGATGTGGTTTGAAAACCAAAATACTTTCTGGAGAAATGCATTAGCAGTTACCAGCCATTGATGCATGAGGAATAACAGCCCCTGACAGGAGGGGACAGACCTGCAGGGACAGGGACTGATGGCTGCAGGAGGAGGGTCTGCTACAGGAGCCAGCTGAAGCTGTCTGTGACAGCAGCCATGCACAGCTTTGTTTACAACAAGACATAAGCCCATGAGGGAGCACCATGAAAACTGCTGACCTACATGTATGAATCCTTTCAGTGGGTCAAACACAGTGCCAACAACAACAACGACATTAAATTATTACTGCTGTTTTTTTTTCTTTCAATTATTCATTCCTTCTTCTCCTTATTAATAACACAAATGAGGTCATGTGTCCAGAGCGTGCTTTGCACTGTCAGAAAAGACCTGATCTAAAGATGTCCCAGCCTTGCCCACATGTCAAGGTACAAGTTTTCTAACTGGCTATGGACTCAGAGTTATTTCCACAACACTGAACAAACAGGACTGTTTGTTTCTTGTCACAGCTTAGAAATGGTAACTAGCAAATGCCAAAATCCTCATAAAGAAAAGGCATAGGTTGTGACAAAGCATAAAGAAAAGGCAGAGGGTGTGTTATTGTTAATAACAATAAGTGAGTGAGCAAAGCCTAAAAGTTCTCACCTGTGGACAGATATTTATCATGGATCAGGTTTCTGTCTGTTGAGAGAAATGATTTGTTGGAGTAACATTGAAGTTGATGGAAGGAAAAGTAATATGCCTAAAGATAAAAACAGATTACTTAAATTCTCTTCTCATAAGCAAATATAATGTCAGTAGAAAATCTTGAAAAGTGAAAACCCCAAATCTAAGAATTGCAGAAAAAGGACTATAATCTGGAAGCAGAGAATCTAGGATGATCAGCAAAAGACGTTTTTGTTTGTTTTATTAACATCTCTGGTATTTTCATGTACTGTTTTTTAATTTTGAAGTATACAGATATACAGGAATTTTATATGCCAGTGTTCCAATTAAAACTAGGGTTCTCTTTATACAACACATTAGAGCACATTTGATTTAAATTCAGTGACACTGTCATACTTGGAATCCATTATATTGTATCAAATGTGATTTTGGAGACTGTTACCTACTGAATGTGAATATAAAAAAAATAACCCGTTTTTACTTTTTTCCTTCTGGTTTTGCCCAAACAGTCCATCTGGGTTACTAAGCTAAAAATAAAATATTTTTTAAATAATTGCATTTCAAAAAGCAGATACACATTTCAGTCATATGATATGAAAATGATCCAGCCTATATAACTCCTACAGCTTACTTTCAAAAAATTCCCTTGTTCTGAAGTCAGTCCAGTGGCTATTAGAAGTAGTCACTGATGTAAATTCCATCTTGTTTATGAAAACATTTTGAACAAAGCATTGATTGTCCAGGGTCCATAAAAAAAAGTTAAAATCTATAAAATGTTGGCACTGCTACTATTCAGGGCATGAGAATGACATGCATATAAATCATAGTTTATTGGCACAGGCTTTTCTCCTCAGAAAAAAGGCTTTGCTGAAAATGTACTGTAATGCCCCTCTTTTATAGATTTCTTTTGAGAGTATTCTGAATCAGGAAATAATCAGAAGCAAATCTTAGTCAACAGTAGGAATCAAGGGCACGAGAAGTCTTTTATGATATGGGTTAACCATCACAGAGGGGCAGCCTGGGCAGAGTTTGGGGAAATCAGGGTGGATGGAAAAGCCTCAGTGTGAAGCTTTGGGAGGGAAGGTCATCTGTGTTTCTTTTCCAGTAGCAAAATTATTGGCAGCCACCAGGGATCAATGTGTAGTTAACATTGGAGTGCTGCACTGTAGAGCAAAACACTCCAGCAATCCAAGCAATTTTCTGTTAAGTCATTCTACTGGACTGCAGGGCTTGTGGGTGGGATTCTCCCAAGTGAAAAAGATGGAAATGCCACAAGACTAAGTCCTTACTATTTCTTGGAATTTTAGTAACAGCCATAAAATTTATTGTTGGCACCTGAATCTTTAGAAACACTAGGCAAATTAAACAATCAAGCATCAATCCTGCAGCTCTTCTCCTCATATGATGCTTATTAAAATACATTTGGTGAAGTGCTTCATGAATGGGTTCCAGAATTTTCAAGCAGAAATGCTTAAAATCAAGTTCATGACTCCATGTCTAAATTTTTAAATAAGGTTATGCTAATTTTTCAAAATTTTTGAGCTTCTGAAGACTGCAAATGCTAGACATTTGGAAAAAAAAAAAAAGCTAAATTTCAGGCAGGTCATTAATCTGAGTTAAAATGTGCATTAAGACCATTTTCTAGAATTTGCTATAATTGTCCATTGTAGGTGTCAGGACTAGTGCTGTGAAGGCTAAAGGAGGGATGGTCTGGCAGCCCTGATGTGTTCTGGGTTGATCCTAATTCCCTGGAGCAGGAATACTGCAGGAGAGCTGATTATGATGCTGTACATATGGCTAATGTGGATTGCCTTTTATTTTATCAAGTTTGGAAGCCTGACCCACAGACTGTTATGGGATATTCCCACTGGAAGCACACTCTTCCCATTCATCTTAACAAAGTGGCCCATCACTGATCACTGGGGCATAACTCTTTCAAAACTTTGCCTGTACTATATAATTTCACCTTCAAAAAATCAAGGAAAAAGTAAATGTAGGAGATCAGAACACTATGAGGAGTGACCAACAAAATCCCAGCCGCTTTAACAAGAGTTTGGCAACGTGTGTAAGTCAGTGATTGCAGACATGACTAAGTCGTGCCATCTTGTCTGCACACACAGTGTGTAACATCCAGAAATCTTGTGTTCCAGCCCAAGGATTCTCCATTTAAAACAGACAATGAGTTGCACAGTTCTTCTTGTCAGTTGTTTTCTCTAGTTTTTGAGCATATTTCTAAGCCAGAGGATTTGTTTAGGAGAGCCAAAACTATGTATAGTAATGGCAGTTGCAGAATTGAGTGTGGGGGAGCTAGACAGCCTGATGCCTTGGAAAAAACAAGCATGGAGACAGGAAAGAGACACAGTTATTAGGACAAGGACTTGGGCATGAGTGTGAATAGCTGGTGCATTAGGGAATATGTAATTCAGCTACACTGTCCTCTACTGGCTAAGCCTGGATCTCTGAAAATGTTCTAATTCATGCTGTTTTCATTCTTTGGTGCCCAATTTAAAGCATTTCAAGAGAATCATACTTTCAGACAGGCCATCTCCTTCACCTAATCTCTGTCCATCCTCAATACTTCTAAAAACTAAGAAAACAGTATCTTCTGACTATCAAGGTTCTTGATGTTTACTCTCCTCTTCTTAAGACCTTTGTGGGAAGTGAGGAAGAGTTTCAGTATGGGGAATTTCAATCAAATTCATTTTGTTGTGAATTAGCAAACTGTTAATTACTTATTCTGTTATTTTAAAGAATAAAACAACTCAGGGAAATACTTTGGGTACCATCTGTAGACCTCTTCTTCCCTTTTTCTGGTCACCAATCCCTCTGAGCCTTCACTGTGGGCTATGCTCAGTCCCTTTGGAAAGGTGGAGGCAGAAAGGGGTCAGCAGATGGTTGATGCTTTCTTTTTTTCAAAGATAGCAGAAATACTCATATCCAGAAATGTGGCTTTTGTGAAGGAGAAAAATCCCCAGCTGGGAGAAAATATAGAACTGGAGGTAAACCAGATTATAACCCCTACCTATGGCTGATAGGGAGAACTAGATTAAGGTCCCTTCCAACCCAAATTGTTCTGTGATGCCTAAATTCAGGCAGGCCTTTCCAGTGGCCTGTGCATGGTCTTTGCTGTGCTGCTCCAGGGGGTTTCAGCTGCAAGCTGACTGCTCTGTGCTCTGTGTGGGTCGTGCAGGCACCAACAACCCGTGTGCTGCTTTCAGGTTCTGGACGACAGCTGAGGCCGGCCGAGCCCCCGGGAGATGCTGATGCCGATGCAGATGCAGAGGAGGAAGATTCTGTGAGTTTTTTAGAGTTGAATTTTTCTGTGATGACAGTTTGGCAAAATGGGATCTTAAATATTTTGTTCGTGGCTGGGTCTTGCTGGTGGTTTTCCCATTAAAAATGTTGTATTTTAGCTTGGGATTGTCCTGCCAGCTCAAACCCCAGAAAGATGTTTCAGTGTAAAGGCACTTGCACTTTGCCATGGTTCATTGGCATAAGTTTACTACCAAGACTTATCAAACTATTACGTGGCTGTTAACTACAGTAACTTTTCTTTAACGATTTAGATAGATTTTTTCTTTGAGGATTTTTTGGGTTCCCTGTTGTCTGACTGGAGAAGAAAGAATGCCAAGTGCTTGTGAGCAGAAATTCCTACTGGGACTTTTCCATGGTTTGCTTGCTTATAGAGGGCAATAAAGTTTGAAGCCATTGGATGCAAAGTTTAGGTGTGCAAATAGAGCAGAGAAGGGATTTTTTTTTTTTTACTTTTTCAATTATTACTAATTGATCTGTCCATTTTCAGTCTGTTCAGTCTGTAGATACATACAGTACATAAAGAAAATCAAAATAAGCTTACCACTGGCTTTTGTCTCTCAGAACTCTGTCCCTTGTGGTTTTGAGTGTATTAACATGAAATCTGTGTGTGCTCTTGATCTAAAAAAAAGTTATTGGTTATTTTTTATCCACCATCACTAATGAAAGATTTTTATCAGAAGGACACTATGGATAGCTAGAGAAACACTCCTAAAAAGGAGTCACTGTTTAATGGTGGGTGTTCCTTTACCACCGTTCATGTCTTTTCCACAGGTTAATGAAGTGGCAGTAGAAGACATTCGTCCAAGGCCACAAGGATCCTCTCCAGTTTATGAATATCCAGTAGAAGAAGACTATTCAAAGGCAAGATACTGAATTTTTGTGCAGACATGGCTTTATCAAGTTGATTCAAGAGGCTTTATCTCTCACAAGTAGCAGAGAGTCGCATGTCATAGAATGGGTCATTGTTGCAGCCATATTGTCTTCCTGTCCAGTGTTTTTCCTGTTAGAATGTATGGTTTGAATCTTGCTCCTAAGTATTTCAAAATTATCTGTACCTCTTGGTTATTCAAAGTTAAGAGATTTAATTAGTACAGTATGTTAAGTAGGCAACAGTTTAAAATTCGTGCTGAAGTTGAATAAGTAAAAAAAGTATTATATTTACAAAATTGAAAGGTGAACAATATACTACATTAGGACACAGAAAAACTCCCAATATCTTAAGACATTTGATCTCTGACCAAAGGCAAATTTTGGTACAATGGTCTGTGATTTAATGCAAATTTTGATGCTATGAAGGGAGGCCTTGGCATCTAGTTTACTACTGGGATTAATATAGTTAGATCATTCATGTTGTACATAGCATTTGATCCTGATTTTGCTTTGTTGCCATTAAATTCAGCCTCATTTCTTGCTCTAAACCAGGAATTTTAATTGACTTCTGTTTTACTCAAGAACACTGTGGCTTCTGAACTTGAAATAATTAAAAATTATTTTTCAGCTTCAAGAAGAAAACAAAAAACATTCTACAGACAAATCAAAGCAAAGTCATCCACAGGTCAGTCTAAAAGCACTCTGTAGTTTTAGGTATGAGCCTTGTAAATAGCAAAATTTGTTAAAACACACAGACATGAATGGGTGGACAGAAGGAAGGACAAATGGGCAAAGAATCACTTTGGATTTGTTTTGACCAGGAACTTCATGAATGGCTGAGTTGTGGCACAGGCAGGAACATTTATTTGTCCTATTTGTGGTCCTTCCATAATTCTTTTTAGAATTCTTTCTTTAGCCTTGTCTAATTTGAGTGCAGCATTAGCTCTTATTCTGACTTTTCTGGCCCATAGGCTTTAATTTGAGTGATTAACATCTTCACAGAAAATACAATCTTTCAGCCCTAAAAGTTTCCATGTTACACATTTTAAAATTATAATCTATTTTCCCTATGACCCTGATTCAACATAATTCTAACACACATGCTTAATTGTAATTTAGAAGAGATTCCAACCCACACTAAGTATATTCTCTATTTTGGATAATCTTTCTTGAGCTATTAAAAATATACTTGAGAAGACTAAATTTTTTTATTGTAGAACAACTTAGAATCCTTTAATACAAATGAATAAAAATTATAAATTCACATCTTTTTCCATCTCTAGGAGACAATGGAAGTGACCCTGAAAACAGAAGTGGAAGCTGGAGCTAGTGGTTTTAGTGTGAAAGGTGGAGGAAATGAAGGAATATTTATCAAAAAAGTACTTAAGGAATCTCCTGCTTCAAAAATATTTAGTCTTAGAGAAGGTACAGTCTGATTTTTTATTTTGTTATGATTTTATTCTATATCATTAAATAATGAGATTTGTAGCTGTGTGATCTCCCATCTCTTTAGGTATCAGAAACAGTAGATTTCAAACCAAATAATGTTATTTGTGAGCTCAACCTGTTGATATTCATAATTTCTAAGATCACTTGCTTGAACAATAATGAAATGTGATGTTTTTTGTATACTGTAAAAAATCAGTTTTCACTGGAACAGTGGAGAAGACACACAGAAAGTAGTAAATACAAAACTAAAATGAAAAAAAACTATTACAAATCACAAACTAATTAAAATTATCCATTATTCCACTTGCAGGTGATCAGCTTCTAAGTGCTACAATATTTTTTGATAATATCAAATATGAAGATGCACTCAAGATTCTCCAATATTCCGAGCCATACAGAGTCCAATTCAGCCTCAAAAGAAAAATTGCCGTGCAAGAAGATCTAGAACACTCGACAGCCCAGCACAAAAAGGAAAGGATAGGCCAGGTAGATATCTGATTAGTTTACAAAGTTTGGGTAACATACTGTAGCAATGTGCTGTGTGAAAATAGATCATAAAACACACGCTTTTTTTCTTCTTAAGACTTACACAGGTATTTAAAGTTACTAGCATGAATATTCCTGAATTTAAAAAATCCCACCAAAAAAAGATATTTTTTAATATCTTGAGTGAGACTATAGATATTATATAAATCCACAGTCTTGTTTTAGGGTGTGAAAATATTCTTTATGAGTTAGTATTTTTTAATTGTTGATTATCCACTGATGGAACAGATTTGGGTAATCTCTGTAATATTTATAATAATTATGTTCAAAAGTAAAAATTTTTATCCAAAACTCCTCTGTAAGATTTTTCTATTAGAAAAATATGTGTCTAACCACTGATATTTTGATGGACCTATGATCTCTTCATAGGTTTTCATAAACTTAAAGGTTATATTTTCTTCTTATATTTTTCATATATTTTTTCAAAATTATATATTTATAGGAACATATATACATATATAGATACATATAGAAACCTTTGTTTACTGTAATGTTTTGCAAGGAATGAAAATCTTCAGAAATCCATATATTATGGTCAATTTGTTTTATGTAATTTCTGCCTGACATTGCATATTTTTGTAATCTTCAGGATTTTTTTATATAACAAGTAGATACTAGTAATAAGAAGAACATTTTTCTACATGTTTTATGGTATGTTTTTTATTTTCTGTTGCACTTATATTTAGGTTACTTCTAATCTTCTGATTACTATTTGTTCTTTTAGGAAAAAGAACTCAGTGAGAGCATTCCTGAAGAAACACTGATTGTTTCAGGAAAAGCCATTTCAGAAGAAGACAGGCAAACATTAATTGTAAGCCAAAGGGTAGGAAGAAGTAAAAGACCTAAAAAAGATAGATTATCATGGCCAAAATTTCAATCAATCAAAAATAAAAAGATACTGAGGCACAGAAGATCTCATAGTACATCAGATGCATATGAGCCTGCTGTGCAGGATATTTCCCCTACAAGCACGGACACAGAGTCTCAATTTCCACAAGAGGTCCATACCAAAGAGAAAAAAGCAAGCCAAAGGAAGCTGAAGTTCCCTAGCATTGGATTCAGAATGCATAGGTCCAGACCAGAACCTCAAGAGAAGCAAAAAAAAGAAATAAAAACGACACTGATCTCTGAAAAAGAAAAAATACATAAAGATGATATAAGCCTGGAAAATCCTGAAATCTTAACTGTTGAATATACCACATCTCCTGCTTATGAAATGAAAACAGGGGAGGGACATGAAGCTTTAACAAAAGACTTAAAAGAGATGAAAAATGGTATTGCATCTCATGTAAAACAATGCCCTGAAGTTGAAATAAGCATTGAAAAAGAAAAAGACAAGGAAGCAACATCAAAATTTAGTGTACCTGAAGTACCAGACATAACAGAGATAGCAAAGCCCAGTTTAGAAGCAGCTGATCTGAAAGTAAGCCCAACTAAAAAATCACCACAAGCCTCATCAAAATCCCGAAAAAAGAAACAGAAGGGAGCAGCAGATAAAAGAGATGGAGAAAGTGGAATTAACATAGACTTGATAGGTCACAATACTAAAGGATATGTACAGGTAAAAGGCCTAGAAATTGGCGCTGCTAAAGCAGAATTGCAGACATCTGACACACTGGGAACAGGAGAAAAACGAGCAGAAGACACACAAATACTAAGCATTCAGAAAATAAATTATGAAATTTCAGTGCCCCCAAAAAAAGAGACAGAGACTGACACTACCAAACAGGGAAGTGATGTTCCACATTCAGTACCAAAAAAACCAGCTGATACGACTTTAGAGGACAGCAGGAATTTAAATGTGAAAACTCTTATGCCAGATGCAGAATCAAATGTATCTACTTCGAAATTACAAATGCCATCATTCAAAGTGGCCAAAGCACCTAAAACTGACATGAAAATAACAAGAGAAGAAAGCAGAGAGGACAAAGAAGATAGTGTAAAAAAGGAATGGATTGAGGATAAGGGCATGCCTACAAATGAAAAAGCCTTAAACATAGAAATTGGAATGAAGAAAGGAGAAAAAGATACAGAGGAGAAAGAAAGCAAATTCAGACTGCCAAAGTTAAAATTCCCTACATTTACCTGGTCAATTACTAAGGACGAAACAGCCCAACCTGAAGCACAGATAAGTGAAAGGGAAGTAAAAGTGCAAACACTGGAAAATGCAGGAGGCCTTCAGGTAAGTGAACCACCAGGAGAAATTAGGGTTCCAAGTGCAGAAATGCATATAGGAATACCCATAGGAACAAAAGATGAACACAAAATAAAGCAAAATCGCGAAGGCCAGTTGCCTAGTCCAAAAGATCCAACAATAAAATCATTGCAAATAAAAATTAATACAGAAGACAAAAAGGAAAAAATACAGACTTCAAACACAGATATTCCAATACAAACTAAGGACTTAAATACAAAAACAAAATATGAAATTTCAGAAATTACAACATCTGAGATCAAAGCTCCCAGGGTGGATATCAGCCTGCCCTCCGTTGATGTCACCCTTCCACAGGCCAGCGTCGACATGCAGGCACCTGAGGCTACCCTTAGCCTTGAAGAAGAAGCCAAAGGCCCCGAGAAGGAGGTCGGCAAGGCCAAAGACAGCAAGTTCAAGATGCCCAAGTTCGGCATGCCTTCCTTTGGCTGGTCCAGCAGCAAAGAGGCCAAGGGCACTGTGGC